GATCACCTTTACAATCTTCTGACGAGCAAAGTCAATGGGGAAGCCAGATTTGCTTAACAACTGTGTTCCTATCTTAACAACAGACTGTGTTCTTCACTTAACAATTCTGGCAAGAAAGGTGATAAAATGTAACTTAACATCTATCTCACTTAACTTAAATTTTTAGTTCAATTGTTCTAAGTCGAGGACTGCCTGTATGTACAGTATATATGTATGTTCATTTTAGGAAACTATCTCTGAACTAAACCTTTAATTCTTTTAAAGCTACTGTCTCTTTTCATTCAACCATTTTTACCTGTGGAAACCAGCTTTCAATTTCTTTCGCACATTTTAAAAAGGTTTTTGTAGTGAACTGATGTAAAATAACATGAGGCTTTATTCTGTGAATAATTCAAGAGACTTAAGAACAAACCTATGATGGAAGCTTATTTTTCATGTCAAACAATTCTTTATTTTTTTAATGGTATAAATTAAAAGTGACAGATCTGAAGCTATTAAGAAATACACAAAGTGCAGCTTTACTGACCATACAGATATTGCTTTAGTTAACGTACAGTTTCTGTCAGTTCATTATTATTATTTTTTAATGTTAAGCAATCTGTGCAGATAAATCAACTTTGGTTTCAAAGTCAGAATAGATAAGGAGTTTGAAATAACCATTTGGCTTCTTGGTCACAAGTTCTCCATATTAATTCCTTTCTTCCTTTTTTCTTTAAAAACAAAAATGAAGAATCCAATACATCCCAACACAGTCTCTGCCAAATTTCCTGCTGCATGTATTCTGCATGAAAAGCAGATCTCTTTTGCATGCTTCATAAGCGAACCTGGTGACCATCCAGGAGATTTTGAGATTAAGACATTACATCATATTGCTACATGGCCTCCATTCTCTTCAAGGGAGCAGGCTCTGGAGCCTTGCAGAAGTGTCATTAAATGAAGGGAGGATATATAATATAAATTATAAATTAATTTATATTATAGTTAAATTAAATTATTTCTTTTTTAACTTAAGAGAACTAATTTGACAACAGTTTGGGATGCTTGTAAAACCGTGGAACTTTAAATTAATTAGAGTTGAAAAAGAAATACTTTCTTAACAATAAATATAATATAAATTATAAATTAATTTATATTATAATTAAATTAAATTATTTCTTTTTTAACTTAAGGGAATTAATTTGACAATTGTTTGGGATGCTTGTAAAGCTGTGGAACTTTAAATTAATTAAAGTTAAAAAAGAAACATTTTCTCAACAATAAACAAATTAATGTGGCCCATATAAGTTCGAACTGGAAACAAGCAAACTACAAGACGAAAAGCTTGATACAAAATGTCACTGAAACAGTTTTTCTTACAATTAAACATTTACATGGAAATTAGTTTCAATTTTTATTTTAAATTAATTCAATGTTGCTTGTGAACTGGGTACAGTAGAGTGCTGAGGTAAAACATTGATGAACAGTTTGTTTTTTTTGTTTTTTTAAGATAGTAACAGTTTAGTATTGCAAGATTGTCAGCAACATTTAGCCATATCTATACAATGTGCATATACCTACATACAATGAGCTTTGGTCCAGCTTTGAGAAGACAAGCAAAGGCATTATACATGTTTCTTTTTGGTTATAGCTTGAGTACTTTGACATGCCTCTAATTGTTCCTTCTTAGCTCCTTTTTCCTTTTTTGCTTATTTACTTCTTTGTGTGATTATAACATAAATTGAAAAGTTCTAAATGAATTTGATATTTTGCTGTTCATTTGAACCTGTACACTCAACATGTAAGCATTTTGGCAGGATACTGTCTCAAACACTGAAGCGATGCTGCTTATACAGTGATGCAATGCAGGAGTTTGTAACAAAGCTGTATATCCTGTTATGTAGTACATCTCATGGATTTGCAGAGAAGGGAGAAAACTGTAGGATTAGACTTTTACTAGCAAAAGAGAAAACGACACATCCAGGAACAAAGCACAGAAATAATTTAACAATACGTGTTACCATTAATTAATTCCTGCTCATTGTTCGAACTGAACTCAGAAAATGTATAATTGACAGATCACTCAGCATAATAGTAAAATTCAGATTAGTATTTTATGAATAAACTCCTTTCTGAATTCTTGACAGTTTAGCATAAGCATGAAAGAAGAGTAAGAAAACTTTCATTATCATAACCACAGACTGTTGTGTCCATTTGAACTTGGGTGAATTATACAATAGTTTATTTTCACTCAATATTTTAGTAGAAACAAGTGAAGCTTAAAACAGAATTTTTGAAGCTGAAGCTTAATTGAATAATTAAGATTAATTGGAAAGCAAAGCTCAAACATTATGCTGAACTGGCTTTTTTAAAATGGAAGCTTCTGTTCTTCCTATAGTTGTACCAAATCTGGAAATGGGATGGGCTTTTTGCTACTGAGGCTTTGTTTTTTTATTAATTACTGGAAACCTTTGATCTTGAAGAGTGAGAAAAAACAGCTTTACTGAATATGAAAGAACTGAAAACTTTGTTCTCTTTGTTTTATTAAGTTTGCTCAATACAGAAACTTTATGGTTCTTGCTAACTAAAGTATAATTTAAATAATTTAGATTGTATAACAGAATGTTCTTTTCTTTTTCTGAAGAGTCCTAAACATTTGCATTTTTTGTTATCATGGCAGACTAAATTCACCTAAGTTTCAAAAGGTCTAATCCCTAAGGAATAATCATTCCATTGAATCATTACTTTGAAAATAAGCAGAAATCTACTCTGACAAAGTGAACAATCACAATCAATCTAAAACCTGATGAATGTGGACTTGCCATAGTCCCACATTTAGTGATGCCTTGATGTTTATTTTATATATATTTAGGATGCTAAAGTAATTAATCTGCTTCTTAGAAAGTCTTACTCTTTTGTTCATGTAGTGTTATGTCCTTTACTAATATATGAAGAATAAGAGTGAATGGTTTTCATAAAGATTTTATTTAACTATTTCTATTCTAACAATAAGATATTTATAAACACAATAATTTATTTGGCTCCTGTGGAATTTTAAGAAACAGGAAGAATCTACCTTTTCCATTTCCATTAAATGCTTAGCGGTCAACTGAAGCTCACATAGTGTCAGTATGTGATTATGGAGCTTATTCTTGGCACAAAACCAAACTTGATTGGAAGTGGTACATTAAGTGTTACAAGTAATTTTTAACATCTCAGGAATAATCTGTTAAAAGATTGTATTGTGCAAATTTATTTAAGCTGAAAAGTAGATTAGAACTCCAGTAAAAATATAAAATAAACTTCTAGAATGGAACAGTTTATCCTGCAACTGATTTGTTGAAGATTAGCTCTTCTTGTCTTCCAGGAAGACAGAAAAGAATTTGTGAGCAGATGGAATCCTGAAGGCTGCAGTTTGTGGATGTTTTATACTCAGTTACAATGGAGTAGTTTTGCTAGAAGAGAAAAAGGGTTTTGGATTTACATTAAGATCAACTAAGAATTATTTAGTTATATAGGCTCAAATTCAAATGTACTCAAAGAGTCTGGTGTGGAATTAGCATTAATGTATAAATGAGCAGAACTCAAGTCCCTACCTTTAAATATAAACTTAATCAATTCTGACTGACCTCTACAACTCACACCATATGCCTTTTGTCCACAAAGTTGGTTTGCATAGGATATCTCTGCTCCTTAATGCTTCCTCCCCCACCAAATTAGGATAAATAAATCATTGCAAAATATTCATTTTGTAATTAGTCATTTTGAGCAATCATAAAACCACTTCTGAGTTCATCCACAGTCTTGATGGTTGCAATGCTATAAGTAAATGAATAAATAAATAAATAAATAACAAAAGCATTAACAGCAAAATAAATGCTTTAGTTAAAATAAATCAAACCTAACCAATGTTGTACTTATTTTATCACTTTGCCAGTCACTTGTCTGTCATTAGAATCCCAAGAAATTTCTTTGGTTATCAGAAAGAAATTGGTTGACATAGAAAGAATCAAAAGCATTTACACTGTATTTTGGACCAAATGGTTTATAATTGTATTACAAAAGTAGCTTTGTTAACCTGTCCAATTTGTGGCCAAAGAACAGAGAAAGTCACAAGTTGTTTACAGTAAGTGAAAATTCAAGTAACTTTATGTGTCCTTGAACTGACTGTTACAATTTGTGCACTTTTTAAAAATTGTATTTTAAACACATTTCAGTGGTATTAAGATGGAGGTCAGTTAAAATGAAAGATCACTCTAATTGCAAATAAAGTCTACAAACCCCAAAACACATTGTTTAGGGAAACAAACTGTCATTTTGGCACACAAACATTTGGAGATCACAAAACTGCATATGATCAACATAGGGTTGAGCAATGTAGCTCAAACCAAGTGAAATCTACTCACGTGCTGGGTATGTGTGAGAAGGTGCAGGGGAAAAGAAAGTCCTTTAATTATTATTGTTTCCTTTCTGTAAACGACAAATGTAAAAATTGAAAATACAATGTAGCACTCCCAAAAGAGTTGACCAACAATCTAGTTTTAATGTCATGTTTCTGACTTTGGTTAATAGTTTTCTTTGTGAAGAAGCACTTGATACCTGAAAGACTACTATCACTCCTCCAGGTGGCAGGCTTGTACTCTCTTGCTTCCTAAGAACATTTAAATGTTTGCTGTCCTTGTCGTTGTTGTATTCTTTTTCCACAAACAAAGTTCACATGTCCATAATGTACAGAAAAGGTAATAGTTATTTGGTTTATTTCTAAGTCCATTAAGAAAAAAATTGGCTTATTGGAACTAGTTCTAACACACACACACACACCCACACACACCCACACGCACCCACACCCTAAGTGCTGTGTTTTTTTTTCCTAGGAAATCCCACATTTATAAATCTTCAGTCCAACTTGTAGCTTTTTCAATCTTTTACTTACAAAGATGAGAAAAAGCATCTTTACAGATTTCCAATGTTTATATGTCCATTTTTTTTTTGGTCTGGGTGTTTTCCCCTTTAAATCTATCCATTTAAGAGTCTTCTTTCAGAGAGTCTGTTAAGGGCTCCATTGGGGCTGCTGTCACAGGCTCATTCTGTTTTAGACGTTTAATTGTATTCTTCAGTGCTTGCCTTTTATTGCAGAACCATACCCTAACCACTTCCCGATCATAGTTCAGTTTCTGTGCAATTTCTGTCATTTCCTGCCCAGAGGGATGGGTGTTCTTCTCAAAATGCGCGTTCAAGATTTCAAGAGCTTGTGGGGTGAAGGAAGTGCGCCTCTTGCGCTTTTTGGATGGTTCGCTTCCAATAAATTCAGTAAGGTTCTGCATACCTGCTCGATGGCGGGCCTCAGCCTCAGCCATCCACCGTTCAAGCACCGGCTTTATCTTCTGGGCACTTTTAGGGGTGATGTCCAGCTTTTCAAACCTGGCAGGATACAAAAGGCCAGGGTTCAGTTTGGCTGTCAGACTGCTAGCTATAGTGTTCTCTTGGGCTTCCTGTGGTAGGAAAAAGTGGCTTCTCAGGATGGTGTGTCTGAGGGGAAAATTGAAAAAGAAGAGTCTTTACACTGATGCTCTGCCAGGGTGGGACTTCCTGCCTGTCTGCCTAATTGACTGGCAGAGATAATTTACAACGGGTTATGAAAAATTATCATGTCTACAATTATTGATATATTTCAGCAAGCAGACAGACAAATACAATCACATTGACAAAATGTTATTCCATCTAACTAGTTTCTTCAATCTGGAGATTTGTGTGAAATCAGAGGCTCAAATTTATCTTTGGTGCAGATGGGCCTCTCAATTCATTTCTGTGAAGCATGTTGACCCCATGTCCTTTGGTCTATTTGTCTAGATAGACCTGCTTCACTGAAATGGATGAAATTCCAGCCAGAAGAACTTGTGTTTTCAGTGGAAGGACACCACTCTTCCTGGAGGGGACTATTCTTAAAGATATACAGTATGTTACAGATTTAAGCATGTTCAAAACAATATTTACTATGATAAAACTGAACACAAATGTTAAAAATAGAAATGATAGCAATTGACTCTTTGGGGGGGGGTTGTTTTTGTTTTTCCTGGGAATTAGCTTTTTTCTATAGTATAAACTGTTATTTTAATTTCGCAGAGAGATTGTTATCCTCCTAAATTCAGGTTTTGTTTTCATTTTCATTGTTAACCAATTTTCACTGGTCAGAAGTTAATATCATGTCCCTTCAAAATCTCCAGAGCAGTTGTAATCTTCAGTTCAAACAGCGGGACACATTATAATTACTTTGAATATCCCCACGAGTAGTGCTATGAGAAACTCATGTCTTCCTGATAAAACCCAGCATAATACTGAACTAATATACTTTGGCATCAAGCTGGGTTTATTGTGGCATGTCTCCACACTGTGCCAAATGATATCATTTCCTGTAAATGAGGTCTTCTGGGTCTCATTTTACCATCAAAACTCTTTCACTGGACCAGATTTTACAAGTCAGTTTGCAGTACCTGCAAAAACATTTCTAAACTAAGCTGAATATTTTATTTCTCTTAAAATTAAGCCATTTTAAAGAATTACATTATCCACTAGTTGTAACGATTATAGAATAAATAGAATTTTTTATTGGACAAGTATGATTGGACACACAAGGAATTTGTCTTGGTGCAAATGTCTCAGTGTCCATAAAAGAAAAGATACATTCGTCAAGAGTCAAGAATCATAAGGTACAACACTTGTAGTGTTTTATATTCATTCCCAGAAAAAGTCCAATTTAATCCTTGAGATACCTTTTCAAAATGTGTATGAGATTAAAAGCAGAAATAGTCTATCAATCTCAAGTGCAACTGGTACAGAAAAGTGATTGCTCTCAGCTGATGCTCCATTATTAATATACATATAAATAATAACAAAAAATATTTCATGTAACTTTGTATCTAAATGATAATAACTAGAGAGGATGCATAAATTAATTTTTAGGGCTCTCTGTACCCCCCTCCCCGAACTAGCCTTTAGACCAGGGGTCCCCAACCACCGGGCCGCGGACCGGTACCGGGCCGTGGAGCACTCTTTACCGGGCCGCAAAGAAAAAAATAAAAAAAAATGGCGGCTTTCTTCGCCTTCAGTGAATGCTGCTGGGATCGGGGATCAAGGACACAAATGAAAGAAGGGGAGGGAGGAAGCAACCGAAGCCTGTCCTGCTCTCTGGCTCAGCTCTCTCAGTCACTTTCTCGCTCCTCCACCAGCCCAGGAAGAAACTGCTTCAAAGAAGCTGGGGGGGTGGTGGCTTTTCCTGTCGCCGCAGCTTCCCCGAAGCGCCCGTTTCACCCCCACCCCGCCCGCCCGCTCGCTCGCTTGCGGTTCAATCCACAGTGCTCCGTTCTGCCTGCCTGCCTGTCTGGTTGTTTCGGAGCAGCTTCGGCTGAGAATAATAACTATTCGCCTCTTTTTATCAGCCGAAGCTGCTCCGAAACGAAGAAGGCAGGCAGGCAGGCAGGTAGAACGGAGCACTGTGGATTGAACCGCGAGCGGGCGGGCGGGCGGGCGGGGTGGGGGTGAAACGGGCGCTTCGGGGAAGCTGTGGCAACAGGAAAAGCCACCCCACCCCCCCACCCCCGGCTTCTTTGAAGCAGTTTCTTCCTGGGCTGCTGTAGGAGCGATAGAGTGACTGAGAGAGGAACGAGGCAGACACCTGAGGGAGGGAGGGAGACACCTGAGGGATGGGGCTGAGGGCGGCAGGGCCGAGGCGCTCCCTGAACTTGGTGGTTTGCTGGCAGACGTTTTATTACCCGACTAGGTAACAACATCAGATGTTACCTAGTCAGGTAATGAAACGTCTGCAAGCAAACTACCAAACTCGGATTCTCCCCCCCCCCCCCCGGTCCTTGAAAAAATGTTTCTGCTTGAAACCGGTCCCTGGTACAAAAAAGGTTGGGGACCACTGCTTTAGACTATTGAATTTGCTACACTTATAAGAAGCTAATGGTTAGAATGATATCAAAAAGAAATTACTAAGATGGAATAAATTGCAATTATCATGAATGGGTAGAATTTATGTAATTAAGACAAATGTTTTATTACCAAAGATGCTTTTTCTATTTCAGATGTAACATTCAGATGTAACAAGACTTGCAACTGATACCGCCTTTAAACAATAGCAGATAGATATTTCCAAGTTTATATTGTGAGGGGGGAAAAAAATCAAGAATTAGACACAAATGACTGCAAGATGCTGAGGAAAGAGCAGGTTTAGGTTTACCAGATTTTAAATTGTATTGTACTTTTTGATCTGGCTAAAAGAATAGGTTAATCTTCAGAATAAGAAGTTACTTGATTTAGAAATTAAGATTTGGATGGCAAATTAAGATTTGGAGCTACAAATTAAGATTTGGAGGGCATGGCAATTTATGGTATGACAAGATTAAAGTAAATGTTGAATTTAATAACCATTTTGGTAGACTTGCTATCCTAAGAGTTTGGAATAAATATAAAGCAAGGTTTTCTAGAAGATGCCTCTCTGGATGTCTCCCTAGGAAGCTTTTTTAAGAAAGGAAATAGTGGCGAAACAAAACTGGTGGACTTATGGTCAAATAATATTTTTTAACTTAGGTGATCCTATTATCAAATCTAAAGAGAATTAGACTCAGGACATGTCTGCCATTGGTTTACATATTTACTATTGAAAGAAAGGTTTAAATAAGATGAAAGGAGTTATGGATGATTTTGTGAAAAATGAATTGGAAATCCTACTGCATGGTAGTGATGAACACATTATTGCTAAGGTCTATAAATTGTTATTAAATTTGAATTTGGAGAATGAATATGTAAAACATTGCATGATTCAGTGGGCAAGAAACTTTGGATGTAATATAATGCTTAAACAATGAGAAAATATGTGGACAAAAGTTCTAAAATTTACACTAAATTATAATTAGAAAGAAATTTTTTATAAGATGTATCTTTGGTATTTAACATCAGATAAGTTATCTTACTCAAATTCTCAAAGTGAATATAAAAGATAAAATCACAGAAACCTTTCTTCTGAATTTAATGGAAAAAGGCTTGGGATAAAATGGAACTTTGATGTTTTATATATATTGATGGCAGCAAAATTATGCAGAAAAATGGAAGGACACTTTGATTCCTACAATGGATGAATGGTTGCAAAAGTTGATGGCGTTAGTAGAGATGGCCAAACTGGCTGCTTTGATCAGAGAAAATTACTTTTGTTTTTATTTGGAAACCGCTTCTGGACTTCCATCCTTGAGGTGGGAAAAAAAGAAACTTTGATTTTGGGTTTTATTGATTAGATAGGTTTGTTTTTATAGAAATGGCTGGTTTATATTATTATGTAAAAGTAAAAAGTTGAAGTTTAATGCTATTATCTTACTCTACTGCAACAAAAGGAGTTGGAAGTCAACGCATTTTCTTTCCTTTTCCCCTTTGCTCTACACTTTCCCCTTCCCTTTTCCCTCCCATATTTTCCTATTATTTGCTTTTGAATTTTTGTACTTTATATATATATAAAGAAGTTAATGGTTTGGGAGTGAACTTCCTCCTAATGCTATGAAGTTCAAACAAGGTCATTTCACTTGAACCATTCAATGCTAGGATAAAATGTATCAGCTCAAATGTGTGTTGTAGAGTAAATAGGAATAACTCTGTTATTTTGAGATGGAGACAGAGATGGAAAACGAAACTATGAATACAAAGTCTACTTTCTTTCGTTTTTCAATAATAAATTATATATTATGTTTGGACTGTTCAGGCTGTCACAAATATTTGAGAGAAAATTTACAAAGTAGTTTTGAACCAAACTCAGGTCTCATTAACCCATCAATGACTGGTTTGAAAAACGGAGTTCCGGTTTGTCAGGCTTCGGCAGCGGCAGGAATTCACGATTGTGTGCGATCCCTGCTGTGCTCGCTGCTGGAGTGCCTCCGATCCAGCTGGATTTGGAGGCTATAGTTATCCTGTAGGGATAACTGAAGATAGGGGAGATCCGGGCAGGGGTCTGGGGGCATCGCAACCCCCTTCCTTAGCCGGCTCAACTCCCTTTTCCAAAGGCGGTGGAGCGGCGGTCAGCAATGGCCGCCACAAAGAACCTCTCAGCCAGACAAGTTTTGTGCAGGAGGAAGTTGAGAAAATGAAAGGTTTTGGCTGAACCGGGACAATAAGTAACACCTGAATGCCCTGGAAATTTAGCTTTTTAAAGGATACATTGTTTCCCAAGAAGATTGAAAGCTGTGGATGAAAGTGAAAAGGGAAAGTTTTTTTTCTTCACTCTCCTTCCCTACAGATATAGCAGATGGAAATTGGAAATACCCGCTTTGGCAACAGAAGGTAACTAACTTTGAAAATTAAAGCCAAGGGGACATTAAAGATTCCTGAACATTGATATTTAAAAATCAAAATCTTTTTGCTATAAGTGGGAAGGGAGAGGTAAATGATTAATACTAAGATTCTGCTGGAGGAGACTGCTTGGAGCTTATAAGATCAGAGACTAAACTGCAATAAGACTTCTAAAAAATTATTTTGGAATTGTGTAATTGAACTCTACCCCAGGAAGAGAAAGTATTAAAAGAAGAAAGTGCTAAATGAAACAGTTTGTGTTGATTTTGATTGCTTGATGACTTTGGGACTTTTGCACTATCTTTTGAAAGACTAAAAACATTTGGATTGTTTTTAAAAAAATCTTACAATGGCACTATCTGTGGAAGAATTGAAAATTGAATTTAAAAAGTTGAAAGAGGAGGAACAAGAAGGCAAGGGCTCTTCTGGATCTGTTTTTCACTTCTTAGAAACGGTGATTTTTACTTATCAGGAAATACAGCAACAAGAAAGCTGGGATGAAGAAGAAGAAGCCATATTTAATGGACAAATAACCTTAGATGAGGAAGAAAAGGGAAAAAAGGGAAAGAAAAGGGAGAATTTAAGACCTAAAAAAACAATCAAGAAAGGGAAAAATAAGGTGAAAAATCGATATAATGTCAGAAAGCAACAGAAAAGAGGAATGCAACAGAGAGGGGAGACTAAGAGGGCGGAGATTGAGAGAAGGTGGGGGGGTAAAAAGGCTAGATTTGATAAGAAAGGAAGGGAAAAAGGGAAGAGAAGTTATAAAGGCTTAAAACAAGATGTTAAAAAACAGGTTTTTTTTAGAGACAAAAGGTAAAATATAATTTAAAAAGAGATTCTGCAAAAGTACATAAGATTGCATTGTAGTATTTGTATTTGAAATAGAGGTAGAAAATTCGAATATTATATCTGTTAATAGAATATTGTAGGGAATGTGTAAAATGTCTAAGATTTAATAATAGAGTTTAATTAATTAATTTGTTATGGAATATTGTTTCTATTATATTATAAGCTTATTATGTTTTCTATTTTAAAATGTTACGTAGAATGTACTAAGCAGAATCAAAATGGAAATTACGTATTATTTTAAGTGTGAAATTTGGGGGAAAGATAGAAAGGCGTCATACTTCAACCACTGATTACAGGAAAAATTTTGTATTAAGGAGAAAAGATAAATAGATAATTGAAAAAGAACGGACAAAAGATACAAGTATAATGATCTAAATTGAGATGAAGTAAATAAAATAGAATTAAGAGAGTGAAAAGAGGGGAGAAGACACATAAAAAATACAGAATGTTAAATAAGATATGAAATAGTATACAAGGTGAGCATGAATTTGATTTATGTCTGTACAAAAAGATGTAACCCGGAGTTAAGCTGCTTTCTAAAAAGAAGTTTTATGTTTTCATGTCACGTGTTTTTTCTGTTTATGTTTGTTTATTGAGAATTAAGAATGTTGGATGAGAACATATGAAATTGTAAATAAGACAGATGAAAGTATAAGTTTAATGAATAAAATTGAATAGAAGTAAAGGGAAAAATAGTGAGAAGTTGGAAAAAGAGTAATAAGATATGAAGTTGAATATATAAGATGCATATTAAATTGTGTTTGTATGGAAATGTGATAATTTGGAATTATGCTGTACTTAAACAAGATGCTTTATTTGTTTTCTTAAAACTTAATAAGCAGTTCATAGAAAAGATGCTTTATGTTCTTACGTTTTATGTTTCGTTTGTTTGTGTATTGTCTTTGAAAATTAATAAAACTGGGGGGGAAAATGACTGGTTTGAAAAACAAAGAAATAAATGATTTCCCTATTAAGAAAAACTTCTGAATCATAATTCTAGTGATGGTCTTAGATGTTTTTTGCTTGGGCAAACATTAAATGTCAGTTTCATGTCTCTATTGGATTAAAAGACTTGGAGCTGAAAATACCATAATGATCCATCCAACTTAGCCAATGCACTGATGATCCATCTCCTCTCATGTTCCTCAGAACTGTCACATAACTTTGCCATGCTTACAGGTTCATAATATTATGCCTTAGTCTTGATCTCAACCCAGCTGGATTCTTTGCACAAGCAAGCAAAATTTTGTCCTTTGCATTAAGACTGTTGTTTTTCCTACGGTAAGTAGCAGTAACTTTTCTTTATAAGATGTTTGAAGGACCTAAAGAGAAGAAAACCCTTTCTATCTGTAGTGGTTTTGGATTGCTTAATGATTGAGTAACTTCTGACATTTTTGTCCATGTTTGGAATACAGATATCAATTGTAAGCTGATCATCTCTTTTATTATAGATGCAACTTTCATAATAAATTTCTTATATGTTTTCTATGATATGTAACTGCTAATGTTATAGAATTGAATTAGGTTATATTTGCTGTTCATTAATAGTTTACATTTAAATCACTATCAGTAATAATTCAGGTTCTCTGGACTCTAAGACACAGATTTCCAAGCTTCCTGAGTCTTTAGAAACTGAATTAGCCAGTAACCTTCCCCCAAAAAGAATCTCAGGTAAATCAAAATTCAAAAACCCTTTGAAAGATTTGAAAATCTAATAATCTGTATTAAGGTATGATAGTATTATAAAGAAAAGCAAAATAATAATAATAATGAACATATTGCTTTAAAAAACAAAACCTGCTGTTTCAAATTTTATATATAGAGAAATCTCTATTTATAGACATAGAGAAAATAAATTATATTAAAATTAAATAATGAGAAAAACATATTCATATTATTAAAGTGTCTTGTTAACATTTGTGCTTCTGTATGTGGTCTTTGGTATAACAATATCCAAGTCTTGAAACAAATTTCCCAGCAGTGGTATCCTTGTATACACTGAATAAAGGTTATTTTCTGCAGGGAGGTATCTTATAAGAAAAAACAGTAGGGGAGGCCATAGAAGTGAGAGGAACCTATGGAGCTTTTTGTATTTAACAACAATCAATGGGTTTTATGGAAAATCATTGAGCAAAATGTGAGCTGCAAGCTCACTACCCCATACTGATGTTATTTATAACCTTAGTCTTAAACTGCAGGAAAAGTACACTTCCATTCTATGGGGAATACATTAGAAGTATAAAGACCAGATAAAAAGACAGATCATTTCATGGATAACCAAGAACAAAATCCACTTAAATGAGCTTAGAGTTCATTTCTTGGCTCTCGCTGAAAGAGGAGAACTATAAGACTACATTGTCCAAGAGGAAAAATCTGTTACCAAACTCTAAGTGAGTTTGTTACCTCATGCATAAACATAGGATAAGTAACATACATATATGAAGACCTAGGTGCTTTGCTTTCAAGTTTCTTTAATCAAGGCCACTGTATTTTCATGATTTTTCACTATGATCTTGAATATTATTTTCCTTTTTCTAAACACATATTTTTCTTTTGAAACACTTTAGGAAGTTATATAATTAATTCTAAAAAACCCTGAGAAGAATATTTCATTGGTTTGCCCTTCCCCCACCTCAATAATATTATAAAAATCACCATGAACATCTTATGGGTAACATGAATTATGGCATTACAGGCTGAAACATAGCAGATAGGCACATAAAATAATTGTTCAGAATTCACACCATAAAAATGCACAATTTGAAAGCATGCAAATACAAATAATAAATAGGTACCACTTTGGTGGGAAGATACAGTGTTCTGCACGCCTTGGAGTATAGTCATGCCAGCCACATTGACCACAGAAATGTCTTTGGACAATGCTGATTCCCTCGGCTAAGACATGGAGATGAGCACTGCCCCCTAAAATCGGACATGACTAGAACAGGGGAAACCTTTACCTTTAAGAAACTTAATTGGTGTTTGATAGCAGCAGCCACAGGATCTCCAACTCCATGCTGCCTTAAATTTAATGACCAGGAACATATTTAATGTTCCCAATTTGTTTTTGCATAAATAAATAAAATCTTGGGTGCGGGAAGATGAAAATTGTGTTAAAGCTAGTTGATAAGATATATCAGTGTTTATTCATATAAGGCTGCTCTGCTGGACATACAATAAAATAAAGATAGAATTATAATAAGATAAAATTATAATATAAAGGCAGTAAGCAACAAGCCTTAAGAGAATGAGGTTGGAGAACTGAGGACAGACTATACATTTTGTTACCTGCAGATGGCAGACTGGCTGTAGGCTGGACCCTCTGTGGCACTTAGAGCTTGACCGACTTGTGTCTGAGTGAGACCAAGAGACAGGCGTCGGATTTTAAAAGCTTTGGCAAATTCTCGTATTTCTTCAAGATTCACCCCATCCACCTCACTAGAGGCTATTTGGGGATCTGTTGAAATAATAGAAAACAATTTGAATTTCTTCAGATCCTATACAATTAAATTAAGGGAATTATTTCCAATAAAGCAAGATAAAGTCTCCTACATCCAAATAGCATACAGCATGCCTGAAAATATAGAAAGGTATATAAAGCAAGCGTATTGGATTAATAACAAGTTTCCCATCGTAAGTTGAAAAAGAAGAAAAAGAACACTTTTAATAAAACAATGCATATCGTCAGGTTATTTTGCAGCATATTGAGTTCTTGACTTGCAAACCTTCACTTTTTTTTACAAACTGAATTTCGGGTAACATAAGCAGCTACTCAGAACTATAGATAGTTTTCCTAATAGCATACAGTATGACTTCTTTTGGGAAAAAGGAATTCTTAAATTTCAAATGGAATTTTTTTGTGTTGCATCTAAAGTACTTTCATTTTAATATAAAGTTGTAAGGACATTTTAACTGAGAGATGTATGTATGTATGTTACATGTTGGATTCAGTAAAATATTTTATTTCTGTATCATCCCAGAGAATTTCCAGTTTGGGTGCTAAGCATGTGCAAGTCCAGCCTTCCAATTGTAACACTGACCCCTATTTGATTTTTTATTGGTCCCTCAATAGATAATACTCACAGTGCTGAGAGAATAAATTGGACTACTTTGACAACAGTTTTGTCCCAAAAGGGAATGTACTGGTAATAAAAACTATATATTAGAGGAAGCATTATCAGTTTAGGATTTATTGAAGGAAATGATACAGCAGCTGGGAATGGCATCTCCTTCTCTTTCTACAACTGATTCCTTGCTAAATGAAAGCATTCCGCAGAATGATAAAGGCAGCAGACACCAGTCTGGTGGAAGATTTGAAAGTGTTACTTAGTTTTGCATGTATTGAAACTCGTGTTGTATAGTGTTTTTCATATCATTCTTAGAGATAACAAAGATGCTCACATAATAGCATATCTCTTTAATTATATGTCATTAGTGTCAACTCATAAAACATTTTGTATACACATTTTATAGTTGACAATAGAAAGAAGGGGGGGAGTTTCAAAGAGCAGGCAATAGTGTGGAATCGAAAGTACATTCCATTCATATTTTCTTCAAAGGCTGATTAGATGGCTGAAGCTTCTGCCTAATTGGAGAGCATGATTGATGACTCTTGGCTATGGACATTTTTCGTTGGATGATACACCCTGAGGGATAGGGGAAAAGCAAGATCAAGGGTGACAGTGAATTACGTGTCTCAGAGTTGGCTACACCCAGATTAGTGCCAGATGTAGAATGGTAGCTTCAAATAAATCCTCTTTAGTTTTGGGAGTGTGGCTTGAGACTCATGATTTAATTGGAGTAACTGCCGGAACTCTGATAGATAGCCAACTCTCCAAATTAATCACCTGGGTGCCTGCGTCTGGCCTCTTCCATCGCTCCCCGACATCTGAGGTGCGTGGAGAGAAATGCAGGCAGCCATAGCCATGGCAGAGGCTATCAGGAGAAAGTTTGGCTTCCAGCCAGAAGCAAACAGAAACTGATAGCATAATTATAGGAGGACAGCTTCTCTTCAAATCCAAAGAAGAGAAACCTGGTCCATTGGAAGGGAGAAAACTAGATAAGTACCTAATGGAATCCTGGGGGAGATCCATAGAGCAGCTGAGGGAGGGATCTGAATAGGCCACCATTCAAGATGATGGCCTGTCCTGCCACCCAAAATAGAGGGGAATTTTTACAGGGCCTTTTGAAGTGGGGAGAAGCAGGCAAAATCACAACCTCCCTCTCTACATACCAGAAGAAAAAAGAGCCCACTGTAGCATCCAGTGCCTCCCCCATGCAGCAGGCAGTCCCCCCTGTGCGAACTAGAGCTGGGGAGGAAGGTCAGCAACCTCAAGTGAAGGCTTACAGAGGGCGACAGGGAGAGGAAGGAGCAGGGCCCAATGAACTGCCCCAGTTCAGGCGTAAATTTGATGGAGACCCAGACCAACTAGCTTTATTCCTTGACTCAGCTGAGATCTACCTGGAACGCTATGGACACCTCTACCCCTCCCCTAGAGCCATGGTGAATGCCATTTCTGAGGGGCTAGAGGGAGAAGCAAGAGAAAGGCCCCCCAACTATATGACATAGATGACTTCCTACAATTGCTAGAGGTCAGATTTGAGAAGGCAGAGGAGGACCTGTATGCGGAAGATGAGCTCAGCAGCCTAAAGCAGGGAGGGCAGCCCATTAAGGAGCACATCCATGAATTCAGGAGAATCAGTGGGAAGATACCACTTTTGCTGGAGCGGATGCTGGTTCATTTTTTCAGAACCAGCTTGGACAAGCAAATTAGCAAAGTAAGTGCCTATTGGGACATCCCGAACTGACTCTCTGAGTGGTTCTGAGTGGCCATAAAAATTGATGGGGCATGATGTGCTAATGTTATGAGAAAGCTGTTGGGAGCCAAAGAGAGAGGGCAGCCAGATCAGAGACCACCCAGCCGATGGGACACTGCAGCACCACTAGCCCCAAAACCAGCCCTCTCATTTAAATGTTACTGATATGGGGGAGTAGGGCATATGGCAAGGGTGTGCACAACTCCAGACCTGAAGACAAGTCTGGAACCAACCCCCAGAGCATCACCAGAACGGGGCCCCAGACATGCTACCAAGGCATCCCAGATGTCCTTTCAGGAGGCAGAGGTCCCTCCCCACCCAGCCGAAAGGGGGGTAACCCCAGGCAACAGTGATCAGTTGCCAGATTCTTATAACAGCGATTGCAAGGGCGAAAACGACCCGATGGTGAGTGGACTGGTTCACCCTTTCATCTTCCCAATACAGTTCACAGCCCAAAAACAGGAATTCAGGGGACTTTCCAAGCCCTAATATATAAAGGCTGCACTAGGTGCCTGATTGACCTAACCATGGTCCTGAAACTGGGCATCAGAGCAAAAAAGCTGACCCACCCGATCCAGTTCAAACAAATAAATGGCTCCCTGTTGGGAAGAGCCTATGCCACTCACTTAACAGAACCAGTGAGATTAGAACTAGCAGATCACTGGGAAACCATTTGATTCGTAGTGGCTCCCAAAATGACAGATGCAGTCATACTGGGGCTTTCCTGGCTAGACAAGGGGGGCCTGACCATCTGATGGCAAGGGGGTAGCCGCAGACTGAGGATAGCAAAGGGACCCCAACCCCTTCCTCACCATCAAATAGAAGCACCACCCACACAGAGAACCCTTCCAGAAGGTTCACCAGAACAACTGGCAGCCATTTCCGGAAAAACCGCAGAGGTTGGACAGATCCCAAGAGAATATCAAGACCTCACTGAAGTATTCAGCGAGACTGAGTGTGACATCCTATCTCCCCACCGTGAGAAAGATTGCACCATAGAAATCATTCCTGGGGCAAAACTACCAAAACCCAAAATATACGCCATGACTCCCCGGGAAATGCAAGAAATATATATATACAATATATATATATATATAT